ATTGTAGATTCTCACTGAAGGCATCAAAACTATGAATGAACACATGTGGAGTTATGTACTTAACAAAAAAAGGTGAAATAACTGAAAACATGTTTTATATTCTAGTTTCTTCAAAATAGCCACCCTTTGCTCTGATTACTGCTTTGCACACTCTTGGCATTCTCTCTATGAGCTTCAAGAGGTAGTCACCTGAAATGGTCATGAAAATAAAGAAAACACATTGAATGAGAAGGTGTGTCCAAACTTTTGGCCTGTACTGTATTTGAAGATGGGGACACATTTTGTTGAATATATGAAAAGCCTCACACACATCCATTGCACCACCGTGTTATATTTACCGGTGGCAAGTTACATTGTGATATCAATATTGTGCTATGAAGTAAATTTTCTGGGGAAAAAAAGAAAGTTAGAAGAAAAACTGTTCATGAATAGAAAAGCTAGATGGGCATGTCTGTTATTGGCTAATCCAGTAAATGAAATACCTGACAGATTAAGGTCCTTCATCACATTAAGATTATCAATATGACAATATTGCCTACGATTGTAATTGTAATAATATGAATATACATTATTTGCCATTTAGTTTTATACATGACATTTTTGTAAGTTAAAGCTACTCTTACCTTTCTTGCATTTCACACAGCACTTAGAAAAAATTTGAACATCCACAACTCCCGCCTCATTCCAAAGTCCCATCCTCCTCCTGCAACTCCACCTCCCTCCAAAGGCCTACTCCCCCCTCCTCCATTACATCCTCATTATGTCTATGATAGACGTAGGCGTTGGCAAGGTAAGGTTAGACACACAGAAGAGGAGAGCGAGTGTAATGTTACAACCAAGACAGTCAAACGCAACCCCAGAGTTTTACAACTCAGCCAGAGTCAGTGATGACTGATGAGTTTTAAAATAAGGTTACAGTGCTAACGTTAGATAGTAGCGTTAATGTTACTAGTGAGTGGAAACGCACAAGGAAGATAACGTTAATGTTTCAGAGGCTTGCTTATGGTAGTCCGTCGTATCCGATGATGACATTCTGCTTCTTCTTTTGGTGAGTTCTGAGGTGACTATGAAGTCCAATGCATGAGCCACAAGGTCTATTACAGTGAGGGCATCGGTAATTGTTGTTGCCTTGGCTGCAGTGACCATCTTCCTCCCCTGGCGCTTCCTTTCCCTCGCCTCACTCCTCTCCTCTTCCAGGTGCTGAAGGCCAGCTTGGCAAAGTCTCCTCCAGAGAGGACGGTCCATGGCAGTGCTTTCCAGCTGTGTGTGCTGTATCCCACACTTCTTGAGCGTTGTTTTGAGCTACGCTACAGTAGGCTAACGTTAGCCATTAGCAACTGGATACTGTGTTGTCATATAACGTTATAGGTTATATTTGAAGCAAACTAAACATAACGTTACCTGTCCTGCACAGTCAAACGCAACCCAGGAGTTTGAAACTTATCCGGGGGTCAGTGATGACTGATGAGTTTTATAATATAACGTTAACGCTAACGTTAGATAGTACTGGTGACTGGCAACAAACAAGACAGTAGGAGCAACTGGATGCTGTGTTGTCATATATGAATGAATATTAGGCGAGCGGTTACATCAGTTGGAGGCCCCCACGTGGGGAAGAGAGACAGGACGCTCGGCCAATCATTGCATTTGGCCCAAAGCAACGATTGGTCATAAGTTTCTTAGAACCATATGAGAATGGTATAATTATGAGTTTTTATCTCTAGTGGAATTCACTTACATTTTAGTGTGCCATCAGCTTATTAATGGCATTTTAACCTAAACAAAGAAAAGTGTAAAATTTCCAGAAAGGTACGTGTTGCTTTAAAAGAACATGATGAAATCCAACAATTCAGGGCTGCTGGAAATGCATCAGGTTAACTACACAGAACATCAACAAGTTTCTAAAGTTCCCATTTGTTTGAAATGCCACATGGTTGACACACTGGATGTGAATCGCCCAGCAAGATAGAGTCAGTACTACTTGAAATATATTGCTGAATCAGAAGCTCTTTTAAATAAGGCCGGGTGGAGTACTGGTGTTACTCTTTCTGAGAAACACATGTTGTTATCTTACAAATAAAAGGAAGTGAGACGTCTCCACAAAGGAGGCAGTAATTAATCTAAAATCAAGTTTAGAGTGCACTAAGACTTTGTGTCCTGATGCAGAGCAAGTTTCGAAAGCAAAAGATTATTTGAACCCACTAAAAAGGAACTAGACCTAAATAATCATTAAGATTTCCTGTGCTAAATATTTTCATAGTCACATTTCTCACTTTGAGCTGTTATATTTCATGAGAAAAAAGATGGAGTTTAAGTGACATGTTCCTTTCTACTTACTTCATTGTCAGTGTATCCTGTGAACAGAAAAAAATCACATGTCACAAATACATAGTTTAATTTACAAAAATAGGCTGAATTATTTTTTAAATTAGCTGGGCACTGTAGTTTTTAACAAACATCGCTCGAACAGGAGTAAAGTGTAAATTTGTTAGGGACTATTTTCAGCTGCAGATTAATATACGTTTACAGCTGCAGGACAGTGCATGTAGGCTGAAGAGAAATAAACTACAGTGCCCAGGTTTATTTTAGTGCAAAAGTGTGGCTAAATTATGTGTTTTAATAGATTTTAAACAACTATGTAGCTTTGTGCAATTAGCATTTGTAGCTAGTAGAATCAGTTCAGTTGGTTTTGGACTTTTCATGGGATCTGTTAACAAAAACATACATGTAATACATCAACAGCCTTATTCCTGTATCCTAAAGAACATCAGGCTACTAACACAGGGATTAATTAGGTGTTCAAACATGGTGGTTCATTCATTCCAGTGAATCAGCAAACTTGGAAAATAAACAAAAAAAGAAATAATTAGTAAACTATATATTTTCACCTTCTCCCAAAGTCAGGAGTGACCTTATTCCAAGCCCTCCAACCTACAACACCAAATATGGATACCTTAGCTGGGAGTCCTACTACAACGCCTCCTACTACACCCGTCTCCTCCCTCCTGTGCCCAAAGACTGCCCTTTGCCGATGGGAACTAAAGGTGAGACCTTCTAACTATAAACAGACAATCGTGCCCCTGAGGAGATCTTTAAATGTTTCTTTCTCTACAGGTAAACCAGAGCTTCCTGATCCCAAAGTGTTGGCCGGGAGGTTTTTTAGGAGAAAGACATTCAGGCCGGACCCCCAGGGAACCAATGTGATGTTTGCCTTCATGGCCCAACACTTCACCCACCAGTTTTTCAAGACAAACCAAAAAGCTCAAGGTGGCTTCACCAAGGCTTTAGGACATGGGGTGAGACACATACTGACACTTCAGCCATCAGCTACGACCAGGATTTGATTATTATTAAACAATAAAACCTAAGAGTTGGGAATAATGTACATTACTCTGTCATATATTGTTTTGAATATATTTGACTTTAAATGTATTGCCACATATGTATTTTTCTCCTACTCACTCAGGTAGATGCAGGTAATATCTATGGAGACAACCTCATGCGACAGCTTCAACTCCGGCTTCATGAAGATGGAAAACTTAAATATCAGGTTATTATAGCCAGCCATTTTAACATTTAATCTTGTTTAATAGACAGGATTTTATTTGGGATATCTACCATCCAGTTATTACTTGTCTTAATTTTATTTTTTAAGAAATCCAAAATTAAAAACCATACCAGATATTCATAATGTAAATTCAATGGATAGCCACAATTTTTTGTGGATAGCTGCATTTGTAATGTTTGTAGCCATAATTGTGGTTTTAGAAAAAATCCAAAATGAAAAATAATTCTAGATATCCATATGTAACTTTTAAATATGCAAAAAAAAAAAAAAAAAAGAACTGGCGCTATGACCAAAAAAAAAAATTCAATTTTAGATATCTTAAATTAAATTAAGTCCAGTAAAACTTCGATTGTAAATATCTGAAATTGATTATTTTTTTCCTAGATAAATATTATATTTCAGGTATCCAGAATTACCCAAAATGAATTATTAATTAATCCTGATTTTTTTTGTTTGTTTGTTTGTTTTGGTCAACAATATTGCATACTTACATAATCACAGTTAGTGTTTAATGTCATCTGTGTCATCTCGTCATAGTCTCGTGTTAGTCATGGGAAAAAAGGGTCGTTGACTAACATATTTAACCATAGCTTTTGTTATTAACACTGAGCTTAATCTTGCATATCTAAAGGGTGGCAACTTCCCACAAGGTTCTGAGAATGCAGTGGCACAGTTTCCTGGTAGCAGTGATGATGATAAAGTGATTAACCATCTTCATTTTAATGGCACTCTTCTCGGGGATTTGGACTCATAATAAGACACATCTGTTCTGTCGTAGCCAGTCACAATAGTAGTAGTACAATAACAGTTATATAACCTGTACACCACAGAGCCAACTATGGCATACATTTAAGTTTATCAAGAAATAGTCGAGAAAATTAGGTATTCAGAAATTTAAAGTACTTCTCTCACTATTGTTTTTTCACAGTTAGTAAATGGTGATGTGTACCCTCCTTCAGTATCTGAAGTCCCTGTGGACATGGTTTATCCTGAGAGTTTCCCTCCAGAGAAGCGTCTGGTCATGGGTCAGGAGCTGTTTGGCCTCCTGCCGGGCCTCACCATGTACGCCACCATATGGCTGAGAGAGCACAACAGAGTCTGTGACATCCTGAAGGCAGAACATCCCACCTGGGATGATGAGCAGCTCTTCCAGACCGCCAGACTCATCATCATTGGTGAGGAGCTCACGAGTAAATGTGTTCAGTTGAAGTAAAATGTTTGTGTCAGAATCTACAAACGTTCTTCCTCTGTGACAGAAAGATTGGAGTATATATTGCTGCCTTGTCACAAGATACAATTTTTGTCAGTGTTGCTTGAAAAATGACTTTCAGGATTAGTCAGTTAGCAACACACTGCAGCTGCCTTTAAATTTCTGTCCATCGTTGCAGCTTTAATTGTTTTTGCAGGTTCAAATTTCCATCTTCAATCTTCTTTAAATGTTTTTTTCCCCTAAAGTTTGTCTCAGTGTGTGACATGAAGTGATGACATTTGCTTTTGCCTACCAGGTGAGATCATCAACATCATAATAGAAGAGTACGTGCAGCACCTGAGTGGTTACTATCTGGACCTGAAGTTCGATCCCACTCTGCTCTTCAACTCACGTTTCCAGTACAGCAACCGCATCGCTCTGGAGTTCGTCCACCTCTACCACTGGCACCCACTGATGCCCGACAGCTTCCTCATTGACGGAGAAGAAATCCCATACTCCCAGTTCATGCACAACACCTCCCTCCTCTTGCACTACGGGGTGGAGAAACTGGTGGATGCCTTCTCTCGACAACCTGCAGGACAGGTAGATCAGAACCATCTACTTACGGTTTACATGAATTCAGTGTTAGGGTTACAAGTGGAGCCACAGTTTTGTTTGTGTAGGTAATTTTTTTTTTAGATGTGAAGTACAGTGAACAAGTCTTGTACTTTAGTGCACTTTTAAAGAACTTTTACTTTACTAGACTATTTGCATTTAATGTTACTGTGTACTTCTACATCACTATATTTCAGAGGCAAATATTTTGCTTTCTACTGTACTCAATTTATGTGTCAGCTGTAGTTACTTGGTACATTTCAAATTAAAGTCTGACATAAAAATATGTACTATCGTCTTATAAACTATTCAATATTTGACCAGATGTTTTCAGACTGCTTACGAAAGAGGCAGCTGAGGTGCGTAATCTGATGTCTTAGATATCTATGAGTAGAGAGATTTCCTGTCCAAAACTATCCAACATTTAACAAAAAAACAACAACAACAACAAAAAAAAAAACGTCAGAGGAAAGTCAAGAAAAGCAAAACAACACATATTTGTGTAGTGGAGCATGTTTATTTCTCTGCCCTGCCCCATTAATCATCTCACAACCCCTCCAACCCAGTCTCACTCCAAAGTCGTCGAATGCTTGGACAGTGACTTCTGGCATCATTCCCTGATGAAAAAAGCCATCCTTTCACATTGGCATGATATGCAGCCGGTCGCTGCTCTACTTTAACGGCGGCCGTTGGCATCAGGGGGAAACGCAGTGGGACGAGAACAGGAGGTAAAGCGGCAAAAGTCCAAGTACGGCAGGCGGGAGGGGTGGTGGATGGGTCGAACAACCACTGACCTTCACCTGAGAGAGCAGTGTTTGCTTCCCGAGAAAGCCAAACCCTGTTCTTTTTCCCAAAACCTAACCACATGCTTGTGTTGCCTAAACTTAACCACGTGTGTGTGTGTGTGTTGGCAAAAGTAACCATGCGCGTTTGTTGTGGAAGGAAAAATTATCAATTTACAGTGTTGCACTGACATAGTGCATTTATTTTGAAAGAGACTGTATGTAAATGGTTCATTTTACTATGAAAACCAAAGTGTATTTTGAAAGAAGACAATGCATGTAACAGGCAGAACTTGACACGGCGTCCCAGAACATCAACAACCAACGCACCCAGGGTACCTTTCGCATCATATCTGGCGTTGAAAATCAATGACCAAATGTCGATATGTGACGAGGTCAGAGTGAGAATGTGTTGACGCCTCAGATTTTACCTTGTGACCCTTTGACGGGGCCTGGCCCCTAGGTTTGGAACCACTGGACCAGACTATCTACAGTAAATGCATGTTAAGTTGTTGAAACTAGCTTGAAAACAACTACAACAGTGAAATGCTACTTTTGCAGTGATGCATCAGTATTCACAATTTTACTGCAGATCAAGTACTTCTGATACTTTACAGATGATACTACTGTACTTCTACTCGAGTAGGATTTTGAATGTAGCTTTTCAACGTGCACTGGAGTATTGGCAACTTTTACTTTTCAGTAAAAAGGACCTTAATACTTGTTCCATCACTGAAAGATTATAATGACTTGATGTTGTTCAACAGCTGCAAAATGAATCTTTTACAATTATAGGTGGATAAACCACTGGTGATAGTTTCAGCTTCTGACTCAGGCATTTATCACAGTAGATGTCATACATAGATATGACAGGAAATGCTGCTAAGGAAGTTGAGCTTGTTATTTATTATCTGCTGCATACCAGCTCTTCTCTGAGCTCCATGCATTGAAAAGATGTTGTCATTGATATGTAAAACCTCAGTGTCCAATGAGTTCAACTGTCAGGATGCAAATATTTGTCATTAAAAGAATCCTACAGACAGATTAAAGACATGTAGTGACCATACGAAATAAAGTAAGATACTGTGACCAGAGGGTGAGGACTGGGACCATTTCAGAGTCATTTTTTCCAGTTTGACACAAAGGGATAGTCGAGACAAGATTTCCAAGTTGTAACAATAATGTTCATTAATTATATGAACTAATAATAAGATGTAAGAATAATTCTTTGTTGGCGACCATAAAAACATATGTGACAGTCTTAGGAGAAACTAAAACCCAAACATCTAAAAACAAGTGACTGTGTAAGAAGAACTAAGAACTACTAGTCAGGGCAAAGGGTTGCTGTCTACCAAGCCAGGGGAAATTTAGGGGAAGACGCACTCAGGCCTAAACAAAAAAAGGGAGTGAGGTCACACACAGAGAGACATGCAAAACGAAAGATAAGTACAAGGTGAAAACACAGACACAAACACTCCACCGTGCAAAAGGAGTGGATGCATGCCCCAACCCTCCCTTACTCAGTCAGGTTTCAGCCGAAAAAATAAAGAAAAAAACACTTAAACTGCCACAGAAATAAAACACTTAAAAAATAAGCCCTGGGCAAGACAGTAGTCTGCAAGAAAAGGGGGAAAAATACAATTAACCAAAGCCCCCCTTGATGTAAATTAAAGGGAAGTTTCAGGGATATTAAAGGAGAGTGTTGTGAGTTTTACCTTAACACTCATTAAATGGGTTAAATCAGCTCCTACTAAAGGCAAGAACAGGCATTCACCTCTTTAAGACAAACATCAAACCCAGGGAGTGAGCTGGTGAAACTCTGGCCTACAACACTGAATCATCAATAAATTTTACAGTCCACATGCAGGACACCAAAGCATACAAATCAAAGACACAAAGGAAATAGCTTAAATTTACACTTCAGCATAACTCACCACAGGAATGAGGAGCAGTGTCTTTGCAGCCTGAGGATTTGCATGGTGTATGTATGTCTGACCTTTAAGGTAGCTCAGCCAACCCCACTACATTAGACTCGTTGAAGATGAGCCAGGCCTGCGTAGATTCAGTCACCCGCGATTGCTGCACAATACAAGCCAGTTAGTTTTGTGTCCGACTTCATCCCAAATTGCTCTGACCTCATACAAAAGTGGACAGCGATAATCTCACGAGAGGAAGGCTGATGCAGTTTTTAGAGCTAGGTGCTGCTGTTGCTCTCGACCAACTGCAAGACCCGGAGCATGATGGGAAACGCCTGGCTCTCACCTGATCAAACAGCTAATTGGTTTGGATGTTGACTGTAAAGCATTTTGATAAGTCAGTCTGTCATTATTAAAATGATTGGAGACTGAGAATAAACTGATATATGAGTCTGATAATATCTTATTAAATTGACATCATATCTGACAGGATGTGAGTATTTCTGTGACTTCCTGTACGGACTGAAGGCTGCTGAAAACTGGGGGGAAACTGCCTGACTTGACCGCAGCTTTTTGTCCCCTCCTCCAGCTGCAGCCGCCTGCTCTCGTCCACTTTCCAGGCTATGCGCAGTTCATCTCAAACAAGCCTAATATTATACTTGGAGACACTTTTGCATGACTCATCTGCTCTGTTACGTATCACATCGATGATTTCTGCTCAGGAATGTATGAAAGTTCAAACAACTGCGGCAACTATCTCATGCAGACCACAGCGATGGTAAAACATGCAACCTGACACGCATTCAAAACCACTAAACCACTTATAATTAATCCACACGAAAGCAGACTTCCCCTCACAACCACTTCCTAAAACCCAGCGAGAAATAATCTCATTGATCTTATCAGCAGCATCCTGTGCATGCAAAGTGTTATTGTTGTTTGCTGACATCTAAGATCGCTGAGTGTTTGTTTTCTGGCTGATGGTCCTACTATTACCAGTCCATTAAAATCACATTTGTAGTAATTTTTCTGTCTGTGTTTCAGATAGGTGGAGGTCGTAACTCTAATGACATAGTGCTCAGAGTGGCGGAGATGGTCATCAGAGAGTCGCGAGCAACACGTGTGCGGCCCTTCAATGAATACAGGAAGAGGTTCAACCTGAAGCCATACACCTCTTTTTATGAGTTTACTGGTAAGCGGGAGTATTTCACATGCACATAGAGTAATACAGCATTTGGAATTTTGATTTCAAGTTTATTTAAACTGGATAAACATCACATCTGGTATTTAGTACGGCAGCATCTGAGACATACAGTCTATGGTGTAACATAATAAAGCTGTACTCTCTTTTCCAACCAGGTGACATGGAAATAGCCAGAGATTTAGAGGAGCTCTACGGTGACATCGATGCTTTGGAGTTCTACCCCGGTGTCATGCTGGAGAAAACACGTCCCAACAGGCTGTTTGGTGAGAGTATGGTGGAGATGGGTGCTCCCTTCTCCCTGAAAGGCCTGCTGGGAAACCCCATCTGCTCCCCTGAGTACTGGAAGCCCAGCACCTTTGGGGGCGAGACCGGCTTCAACATCGTCAAAACTTCCACTTTGAAGAAACTGGTGTGCCTCAACACCAAGTGGTGTCCATACGTGGACTTCCATGTTCCACGAAATGAGGAGGAGGCAAAACCAAGGGAACCATCCACTGAGCTTTAATTAATATTCACCTGGTGGTTTGTGATTTGGTGGCATGGTAGTGCAGTGGTTAGCACTGTCACCTCACAGCAGGAGAGTTCCTGTTTTGAATCCAGGGTGGGGGAGTCCCTCTGTGTGGAGTTTGCATGTTCTCCCTGTGTCACCGTGGGTTTTCTCTGGGTACTCCAGCTTCCTCCCACAGTCCAGAGACATGCAGGTTAATTGGTGACTCTAAATTGGCTGTAGGTGTGAATGTGAGTGTGAATGGTTGTCTGTCTCTATGTGTCAGCCCTGTGATAGTCTGGCGATAGGCTCCAGCCCCTAACAGGATAAGTGGTTACAGATAATGAATGAATGAATGAATGAGTGATCTGTGATTTGATTAATCAGCTTTATTTCTTTACTGACTGAGGGAGCTATTAACATGTCAATGTGCTATAAAGTCAAGTCATAATTCCATTTAAGAGACAGCTCATCCCCCAAAACACATTTTTCCTCTTACCTGTAGTGCTATTTAAAAATCTAGATCGTTTTGGTGTGAGTTGCAGAGTGTTGGAGATACTGGCTGTAGAGACGTCTGCCTTCTCTCTAATGATTAATGGTGCTCGAAACAATACTTGAAAAACTCGACAGCAATGTTTCTTTCCAGGAAACATGAGCTGGTTACTCAAGATAATCCACAGACCTTGTTGTGAGCAGTTTTATTTCGGAACTATTTTTTTTCTACTTAGCTACACCCACTACTGTGCAGAGGGAAGTGTGCATCCACTGCTAGCTCACTGAGCACCACTGAGCTGGAGAGGATTACAGCTCATCTGAAAAAGGTGCCAGTAACATTTACATCTCACGCTGTCACAAGCACAAGCCTCTCATCCATGAGTAGATACACGCTTCCTTTTGTGCAGTGAAACGGTTGGAGGGTGTGGTTCAGTAGTGAGAAAATAGCTCCTACATGAAAGTGCTCACAACAAGGTCTGTTGGTTAACTTGAGTAATCGGGTCATGATTACTGGAAAGACACATTGCTGTTGAGTTGTTCAAATGTAGTTTTTGGTGAGTTGAAAACCACAAGCCGAGTGCCATCTAGTTCCATTATATTGGAGAGATAGCCGACCTCTCTAAGGCTGATATCTCCAACACTTGACAACTCACACCAAAATGATCTAGATCTAGATTGATAAACAGCACTACAGGTATGAAGAAAAATATGTAGTTTTGATTTTGGGGTGAACTGTCCCTTTAAAATTAAGTTCAGGAGTTAAGTTATTGTAATACTACATGTGCTGACTCAGTAGTTCCAATCATGCCTGCAGTGAATGACAGACTTTACATTTAAGCAGGACTGCCTCTCAAAATTACAGCTTACAAATTCCATAGTTTCTACAGCAAGACAATTTCTGTGGATCTCTGAAATATATTTTAATTTCCTAATGGTTTAACTCGGTGGGACTATTTTGCTTTAGTTATTATTGTGTATTTTATTTTACTCTGTTTTTTCCTTTTTTAGAGGAGTTTTTACATCACTATATTTTCTTGAACACAGAAAAAATACCTAACATTACTGTAAAAAAAAAAAAAACCTGTTCAAAGAAAAGAGTGAATATACTGTATATTAAATCGCCAAAAGTGAAATGGCTTAAGATATAGAAGAAATAATGATCTGTACAGTTATTTCTCATATATCTCATTTTGGATAAGATTACACCCCATGAATGTTTGTAATCTCTGCTAAAAAGAAAATGAAGTTTGCCACACCACTGGGGGGGCAAGTGCCTTGCTCAAGAGCACCTTTGTATGTGAAAAGGGTGCAGACTGAAACGGCTGTGGCTCAGAAGGTAGCGCAGGTCGTCCACTAATTGGAAGATGCCATTCGGCTCCTGCAGTCTGAAGTATCCCTGGGCAAGATACTGAACCCCAAACTGCTTCTGGTAGCTGTTCCATTAGTGTGTTTGAGTGTGTGTGAATGGGTGAATGTGACATGTAGTGAAAAAGCACTGAGTGGCCGGAAGACTAGAAAGGCATTATACGAGTGCAGTCCATTTACCATTAAACCAGTCCAATTCTGCTCTGCAACAGCAATGATTAGATCCCTCACTGGATTCCCAGCTACAGTAACTCTACTGGTTGAGACGGATGCACCACTGCTGGGAATTTGATCCAAGTTTGTGCAGCGGTGGGTTACCTCAACACTTCCAGGGCTTCAGTTGTATAAACCTGTGTGTGTGTATGCATGTGTGTGTCCTTGCTTTCTCATAATAAAAACTGTTATCAAATCAATCAATAGAAGTCTGAAAATGTCCTTCAGTGTGATACTGGTATAACCGAGGACTCAAATACAAGACTCGACACGAAATACAGATTGAGTACTTAGCAAGCAGAGGTATCAAAAAACATTCGGCGAAGATATGGCAAAAACAAAACTGAACCAGGTCAATTACCAAAAAAAGTTTCACTAGGGGATAAATACTGGGACGCTGGACGCTGAGGTACTAAAATGAACTGGCACAAATAAAACACAGGGTGAGGAAAGGGTCATGAGGGGACAAGTGAAACTGATCAGGGTGGGGTACGTAATTATACAGATGAGAAACAGCAGGAAATTAAATTATCTGAAATGAGAAAAAAGATTATCATACAAAACAAAACAGTAATTAGTCATTAACAGAGTTGGGTATAATGCGTTACAAAGTAACGTTACAAAGTAACGCAAAGTACTTTGTAATGAACTTTGTTACAAAGTAACGCGTTAGAGTACTTTGATTACTTTTTGCAGTAACGAGTAACCTAACACGTCAGTTTGCTGTTTGAGTAATCAAATACTTAAGTACATTTTCAAACAAGACATCAGTTACTTCCGTTACTTTTAGAACGCTGGTCCTTCAGCTCCGAAACAGCAACAGCTGTCGTTTGGTTCTAATAACGGAGAAAACGTTAAACCTATCAGTCTGAAAGAAGCCACGGAGCTTGTGGCTCGCTACGTGGTCGGAGAAATGCTGCCGTTGTCTACGGTGGAGTCTTAATAGGTGGAGTAGGACTCGCTGACAGACATATTTCAGACTCAGGACTTGCATTATGCCTGGTACACGCTACACGCTGATACTCACCAATTATCCCCGGTCGTCTTTCACGCCGTGTGTGATGTCATAAGGTTATTCTTGTCCTGTTTTTATTAGATTCACTATTATTTGAGTCACTGCCAAAACTGTGTCTGTTCATGTGCCAGCCGACATGTTGTTGTCGTCACCTAAAAGCTTCAGCAGATGGCAGGAGCTACATTTGAAGCGCCACACGTAAACTGTCAAGCTACTGTATCTTCCACAGGAAGTTCTGACAAATGTTTCAGAATAAAAGCCTATTTAGAAAATGGAGGGATTCTCTCAGCTGAGGTTATAAGGGGCTTTTAATGAAATGACGGTGCAATATGTTAACTTTATAAAGACAACGGAGCCGATAAAAAGTAAATATATTATTGTTTCTTAAATAGCGATGATGTGAAGGTGATGAAGAAGTCTCCAATGACACCATCTTGCTTGCATAAAGAAAGGTTTATTACAAGAAGTAAACCATCATTTCCCCTTTTTACTCTGTGTGGTAACATCCCTAGAGGAAATATTAAAAACGCTGGGGTGGTGTTGTCATACAGTTGTCTATGGCAGCAGATCGTTTTGTGTTTCTACTGGTCAAAGTGATTGCTGTGATGGGAGAATTGGATCTCAGTGAAGGGCAAGTGGTCCATAACTTTAATTTTGGAGACAAAAAAATGTAGGCTTAGCGCCCTGTGGTCCGTTGCCCAATAGGAAATGTAGAATACTCAAAAGTACTTTAAAAGTGCTTGAGTTACTTTTCTTAGGGAGTAATGTTGGAGGTACTTTTAAAGTAATTGAGTTACTTTACTCAGGGAGTAACGCAGTAAAGTAACTTTACTCAGGGAGTAACGCAGTAAAGTAACTGGTTACTTTTTTTTTTTTAAAAAGTAACGCAGTAACGTACTTTGATTACTTTTAAAGTAACCCTTACCCAACACTGGTTATTAATATCTAGAAATTAAAAAAAGATCAGGAGTATCTGATCTAAGTTCATATTTACATAGTGATTTGAGTAGCTAAATTACTTTTTGTCATATTTTGTGTAGTTTATTATTAAAACTACAAACAATTTTGGGCCATAAAAGAAATTCTTCTTTATTTTATTTTACCATTGCATCTTTACTGTAAATGAACCTCCTTTGATCAAAATCATCACTATTAATTATTGCTATTTACTACGAGAAGTTGTTGCATGCCTTTCTAGCCACCTTTCTTGTGGACTTTGTTTCTGGGTTTGTGTTTTTCATGTATTCATTCATGTTTAGTCTGATTTATTTTGTAGGTTAACTCCTACACGTATTATGTCTGGTTTTACTTCCTGCTTTCGTGTGTTTTCCCACGTTTGTGATAGCCTGTTCTGCCCTGATTAGTTTCACCTGTTCCTTGTTTACACCCTCCTTTCCCTGTGTATTGATGGACTGAGAGTCTCATCCTACTCTCCAATGTGCTATGTGTGAGCTCAGTCCTGCGTGTTCTTTAATGAAGCAATAGGAGAAGATATTCGGTCTCAGTTAATGTAGTTTATTAAGCAGTAAAGGAATAAAATTACAGAGCTCTGGGTCTCAACTTCACGTCCCTGACGAACAACAAAGGTGTGTCAGTTCACGAAGTCTGACCTCCTGTCCTTTCCCTGACCCAGTATATTTGAGCGTAACAGAGTGTCATTGTGCACGCAAGGCGTTGTCCTCTTCTCATTGGCAGTTCCACTTCCTCCTTCACCACACCACGCCCCTGCCTCGTGTTAATCTGACTCCTTCCCGCTGGCGGTGGGGGCGTGGTTCCTGTTTTGAAAGACAAGAGAACAACACAACTCCCTACACGTGCTGTACCTTACTATCTGTATATCACTTTCTATTCTTTTTACCATATATGAAACTAATTATCTAAGCATTGCGGTATGTGCTCCTCAGACTTCATGTCTCTTCCTCTCCTGTACTTCTCCACTTCTGCAAAGCAAACACATTCAGATCAGCTGAAATCATCTCAGTATTCTCATTGTTCACACATCTAAAACTTATATATTGAAACACAACTTATAGTAAAACACATAACATCATTCTATTCCCAACAGTAT